GTAAAAAGTAAAGTACAGAGTTTTGTCCTATAACCCTTTGGAAAGTCACCTACTCTAGCAAATCCCATGACATGCTCAGTATTACACGCAACATATGGGAATGAAGTCTTCTCACTGTGAGAGCAGATGACTTCGGAGCTTTCCAAGCGGCACGTACAGTAGATCACATGCTTATTTAGATGAAGTCATGTTGAGTTATGATGACAGAATAGACAATATGTCAAAAAGCACAGGGTCATTTGAGGTCATCCGAGAGGTCCATAAAGTTGATTAAGACAAAGTAGGACAGCATTCAAGGGAAAAAGGGAAAAAAAAGAAAATACATTACTTCAGTGTTTCAACTTCAGTGAATACCTGCATCGCAGCAAAAAAACAAAGAGCCAGCTCAGCAACCTTCCACAGCCATGACTGAGGCAAGATAATTAATAAATATTTTTATGTAGTCTAGTGAAAAAATGTGCCCTTGTGAAAAATGTGCACTCAAGCATTTGTTTAAAAAAGTACTAATTATCAAAATCGGATAGTTAATACATCTGCATGTACTTAATTTATTATTTTAGAACAATACATAGCAACTTTATTGCCAAGATTGCAAATTTAATACGTGTTGAAATATATCGTAAATGCAGAAGTTTAACTTCTGTAAACTTCTATTGCATATTCTATGGGACTTTTATATTTAAATGCCATCAATATTTATATTAAATATTATTATTAAATATTTATATTATGTTAAATATTTAAATGCAAGTATATTACACAATATTTATATTTAAAGCTATTTAAAACGCTGTAGCATAACATCTTCAGTTTCAGAGAGATGAAAAACAACAGAAAGCAGAATCCCTTACCATCACCTCCATACATCTACATGAAAGAAATATGCATGGAATAAACTTGAATCGAAGATTCCTGCTACAAGGTACAAAAAACTCATTTCAAGGTGGATTTTGTCATGCTGTATCACAGTGAGCAAAGAGATGCACTTGGCTGTTATTCTGTATTTGTTGTAATTCAGGCATGAAAGTGTGTGTATTCATGATAGGCGTATTCATTCACACCCCTGGATCTGGTTTCCAGAGGGGTTGTCTGTCATCATATTATCTGCCAAAACGTCTGTTCCACCCAGTTAAGATGCAGTTGATTGACAGAAATGAGGGTGATAGCTATTCCTTCAAAAAGTTAATTTAAAAAAAGCAACAAAAAAAAACTACTAAAATAAAGAAGAAACCACTTCAAAATACTTTGAAATGTGTTTCCATAAACATTTCCTCACACCAAAACATATGATAGGTCACAAATAAGGGAACATTTCTAGTCAGCCAGTACTATCACAAAATAAACCCAGAAAGGGTCGACAGGGTTTTATAAATTAATCCTACATTTAATTAAATGAGAACAAAGAGACCACTGCAGTCACCTGGGTCCAGTCCGTATCCAGACCAGATGGTGGATCAGCACCTAGAGACGACCTCTACAGCCCTGAAAGTCAGCTGAGACCATGTCAACTAGACGAACCCTAAAGACAGATCCTCTGTGAAGACCTCGTCGGCCATCGGCACAAGACTACGAGAACCAAACGAATCCTCTGTTCAATCTGACGTGCGTTGCAGCCTGGAATTAAACCACACCATGCTGGTTTCGTCTGGCCAGAGGAGAACTGGCTCCCTGACTGAGCTTGGTTTCTCCCAAGGTTTTTTTTTTCTCCATTTCTGTCACCAATGGAGTTTTGTTTCCTTGCCACTGTCACCTTTGGGGCCACAATTTCTGGCAACATTGTTGACTTGACTGCACAGACACCATTAGAAGAGAACTGAACTGAGCTGGATGATGACATCACTGACTCAACAATGAACGGACTTTAACTGATAAACTGACTGTTTTCTACTGTCCTCTTGCATTACCAGCACACGTTTTCCTGTTTAAAACTGTAAAGCTGCTGTGACACAATCTGTATTGAATAAAGCGCTATATAAATAAAGGTGACTTGACTTGACCGCTGAGTGATACATGACACATGAAACTAGCAGAGTTACAGTACAATATGTTTGCCAAAGTCAATTATCCCATTAAATGGTCATTATACAAAAGATTTGATCACCAAATGCTGTGACTGACCGATCAGAATCAAGAGAGCCATGTAGTACGTTTTATAAACCAATAAAATAAAGAGAAATAGTGATTTTAGCCACTACAGAACACCAATTTAGAAAACTGTGGTAAATTCACTGCAAAGTACAACCTCTATTGCTTTTATAAATGCAGAAACCGCAATTTAAATTTATGAACAATAATAATCATAAAAGAGCCGAGGAGCCCATGCCAAACAATGAAAAGCGTATATATCCATGTTACTTTGGTTAAAAAAATCAAAACAGGGAAAGAAAATTAAAGGTCTGTATATAATATCCTTAAAAATACAAAATAAAAAACAGTTCTTTACCTTAAGAGGCTTTTTACGAAGCGTCTAATATATATTAGATCGCTATTACTGTCTGTAAGCTCAGTATAAGGACATATACTGCTTTGACACCTTCAGACAAATCAATGAAAGTACGCGCTCACGCTGCCAATACCTCGGGACAAACTACTACTAACACTTGCAGGCACTTTTGGCTGCTCTCTTGTGTTCTGTCTCGCTCCGCTCCTCCCATGCCCACCCTCCCTGTTTTGCAGCCCCAAACCCCAGGGAACATTGCTTAAGGTGTTCAATTTACCATAGACAGATGGAGACTCTGTTCTGATTGCATTACCATATTCCGTTCCTACTGGGGCAGTGAGTGAAAGGGGACAGGAAAAGAGACCAAAAAGAAACAGAGATAAAAGGAGTGAGAATGAGAGAGAGATATAGGGAAGGAGAGCAAGAGAGGGAGGATATTCATGTTTACACTGCCATACTACTTGCTATATATTTGAGAGGTTGTTTGCAGTATACCGTTAAGTAGTGATAAAAGTGATAGATAAAAAATGTTGGTTGACCACTAGCGGACATTATGCATATTTTCTGGTATACTTCAACAAAAATGTTTACATTTATTTATTTAGTAGATGTTTTAATTGAAAGTAATGCATTAGTGATTCATCCTATAGGACAGAATCTCTAAGAAGTGTTGCACTACTAAGTTGGATAGAATAGATTTTGTTGCGGTTATCAGCATGTAATATATGCAGAATGTGACCGTAAAATTTTGAACCCAGCAAGATGAATATAAAGAAGTGCTTGTTGACAGTCAGGAAAAAATAAGATTTCACTAAAGATTTATTAAGAAAGTCTGTGACAGCTGGCATCGTTTTTAGCTGTTAATTCATTATTATATTAAATTCATATACTTAGCAAATACTTTGTTAGCAAAGTGACTTGTAATTAAGGGCAAAAATATACTTGTTAATCTAGCACTAATTTATTTTCTGTTTAATTAGTAACAGAGGTGGATGTGATGCAACATATTCCTGTACTACTCTCTAAGGCCATCTCACATTTCTTGAACACACTGAAACAGATTAACCTGTTAACTTAAGGTGCAATTCAAACTGTTCATCTTAATAAATGATATTCACAGCTATTTGGGTTTGCAAAGCACAGGTTTCCTACACATTCACTATCTACAGTGGTGTGAAAAAGTTTTTGCCCCCGTCCTGTTTTTTTAATTGTTTGCCACACTTAATTTGTCACACTTAAAAGATTCAGATCATCAAACAAATTTTAATATTACACAAAGATAACCTGAGTAAATATAAACTGCAGTTTTGAAATTATGATTTCATTTATTAAGGGAAAAAAGCTGTCCAAACCTGCCTGGCACTACGTGAAAAAGTAATTGCCCCCTAAATCTAATAACTGGTTGTGCCACCCTTTGCAGCAACAACTGCAATCAAGCGTTTGCAATAAATGGCAATGAGTCTTTCACAGGAATTTTGGCCCACTCTTCTTTGCAGAATTGTTTTCATTCAGCCACATTGGAGGGTTTTTGAGCATGAATGGACTGTTTAAGGTCATGCCACAGCATCTCAATTGGAAAAAACAGGAAGGGGGCAAAAACCTTTTCACGGCACTGTAAGTGTGTATTTATGGACATTAAATGTCCATCAAGATTTAAGATTACAATTTAATCATTGGTATGAGCAGTGCTTAATTTGTAAATTGGAAGGGCATAGCAGCCACAGGTCCCAGAACATACACAGAATAACATGCCACGTACTCCAATCCCCATTTACCAAGCAGGGGCGTACAGGCATCAATTTCAAATAATTTGGTTGATATAAATATTGTGGCAAAAATAATTTTATGCTACTCACATTCATTTACGAATTCCACAATCATGTAAATAATATATTTTAAATTAAAATCTGCAAAATTTGACTAAAGAAGTCAAGTAGTTTGTTCCTGCCAGTCTTTTAAGATTGCTATTGTAAGATGTGTCAGACAGTAATTTAAGAAACATTTAATGATTAAATGTTTAGCTGCATGCATTACCTCACGCTCTTTGATTTGATTGGCCATCTCAATCATTTTGACTTTTTGTCATCCTAACAACATACACAGCACAGCAAAGGAAGATAAAGACTGCTAAATACTGGGGACGTGTTATTCACAAATAATGCCTGATATTGCATTAATATGAATAGCATATTTATAGCCAGGAGTGCAAAAAGAACATGGTCCTGTGACCATGAGTATTACTAATCTTCCCTTTTCTGTCATCACAACCAATATTCTGTTTAACAGCTTCTGTTTAACTCATCAGAAGCGTCCAAAATGCCCTTCTGATGAGAGATACTGGATCCGCGCATGTACCAGAACACAGAGAGTTAAAAATCGAGAGGTCCCGGATCCTGTTCTGCCAAGATCCGGCACAAATTAAGCCATGGGTATAAGGGAAAGTGTTTATTTTAGCTGCTGTAATTGGTCAAACTGTAAAAAAAAAAAAAAAAGCAATATACATCTCACTCAGACATCTACACAAACTTATGCTAATGTTGTGTTAGATGACTAAACTTACACGTTGGTGGTGAAGATGCCATAGATGAGATCCTGTTCAGGCAGGTAGAAGGTGCTCTGTAGCTCATTGTAGTAGAACGGGATCTCTCCCGACCGTGAGCAGTTGAGTCGTGCCTTTGTGAAGGTGGTCCACGTGTCTTCCAGCAAGAAGCGTCCTCCTATGTCATTCTTACACACCCGCGCCACCCGTGAGTACACTGTCTTACCACAGTCGTGTTCCACTGCGTTTTCCCTCAAGAAGAAGAAGGTGAAAAGACCCACGTCGTAAGCTGAGATGAAGTGAGGCTCTGAAGGAGAAGGAAAAAAGCATGGCTAAACACCTTACAGGCACAACAAGCATTTCAAATGGGTACATCTATAGCAGGACTCTCAGTAATGCAGCATAAAGTGGTTTAAAAACAATTACTTTACTTCCATAGCAAACTGGCCTGCATCCGTTTTCCTTGAATTTCTTAATTCCACACTTATATCTGCTTATGATTACCTAGGACTGGAGCAGAAGACTGTGTGCATGTGACATGCAAAAATTATTCTGAATACAAAAAGCTGTCCCATTGGTCCAGGTGGCACTGGTCTGGATTGCATTAGTCAGAGTTAATATCGCACACTGAATAATGTCTTAGCCCCAAGGGCTGTTTATTCCCCAGCCCATCCAGTAATGCATGCCATAGATATTCACCTGTAAATAGGCATGACTATAATCACTGCTGAGGCCATCGCAGCAGTTTACAAGAATGAGACACTGTGAAGCCCAGGAGAGGCATCAGTAGCCATAACTGTTTTTGATTCAATTTTAAACACAATAAATACCAAATCTCAGTGGACACAGACTCAGAAACAGCCCAGAGAAAACTCTGCATGCATAAGAAAAAAACGATACTGCTCTATCTGCATAAACTGACTGCAACAGAACGTTATGGTCAAAACTGGACTGGACCTTTGTGCATTGTACCATGTACTGAAATCACAAAAAGTATTATTAACGCAGCCCACGTAACTTTATGCTATAGTCAGCGCTAAAAAAAACAAACAAACAAAAAAAACCACTAAATTATACTTTATTTCAGGTTCATATCATGCTTTTTGGTGGGCAATGTAAATACTTTGGTATATAAATATGTACCACGGCATATATCAAATATTATGGTATTAACACTTGATCACTGTATCATGGTGAGTAAATGAAGAAAATTTTTAAGTTTGGGTTACTAATACCATGGCATTACCATGTTTTATTTTTACTGTATCATGGTAAAGACAGGATTTAGACATGTACTAAGCAGTATCATGATTTTTGGACATACACTTAAAGTACATTAAAGCACCATGTAAATACAGTGGTATATGAATGTGTACCAATTTACACTACTGTGCAAGTTTGGGGCCAACAAAAGTCAGTATGATTTAATTTTTCTTATATTATTTTAATTAATATAAAGGAATTAATTTTAAAGTGACAGCAAAGACTTTTTAAATTATTTCAAATAAATGCTGTTTCTTTGAATTTTCTATTCATCAAAGAATCTTGAAAACATTTTATCAGTTTCCACAAAATATTAAGCAGCACAACTGTTTTCAACATTGATAATAAGAAGAAATGTTTCTTGAGCACCAAATCAGCATATTAGAATGATCCTCACTGTTTTTACTGTATTATCAATAAAATAAATGCAGCCTTTGGCAGTATAACATTACATTTTACTGACCCTAAACTTTTAAACAGTACTGTATATAATATGGTATTATCTGATTCATCCCTGTATTTTAAATGTGAATAAATTATGACTGATGTTGAATTTTCACTAACAAAAAGTACCAAAAATGATTATGGTATTATTATATTTTGGATATGAATTTGGAGTATTTTGAATAACATTTGGAGTAGTCTAATGCTTATTTGGTTTGCATTTTAAGTATCTGGTACCATGAAAATACACTAGTATATGAATATTTATCATAGTATGCAGTACTGACTCACTGTACCATGGTGCATTTTGTAAGCAGTGAACCATAACAAAGATTCAATTCTCTGTCCAGATGCATCAATAGGGGACTGTTGTTGTGAACAAACAATTCTTCAGCTTTCAGTTTCAATGAGACCTCATAACTACACTTCCACACAGATCAGGGTAAAGGAAGTGGTCAGAGAGAGACAGTGAATACCAATACTGATGCATTCAGCACTACAACAATTACTTCCCAGTGACTGCATGAATTCATCAAGTTTTTTTGCGAAGCTGAAACAGGCAGGGTGTGAGTGTGCTGATTTGTGAGGGACTGAATACGACAAACGATATTTTCCTTCTTCCATGCTGAACGTAAATACTGCCTCATTTCCACACCGCCACTCCATCAGGGGTCCTTGTATGTGTGTGTTTATCTGCGAGCCACAGTCAGGGAAAAACACTATGCTGGGAAGTGAATAACGAGTCCCAATAAGCACCAGAGGAGAGAGGCATGCGCTAATTGCCACGCTGCTGGCGATGATGATATTTCTCATTGAATCAGAGCTGTGCTACAATAATATCATATCTCACTTCGGGTACGACCCCACATGGGTTCAGTGTTTAAAAAACATTCAGTCAGCACCTGGCACAACCGTTATAATAACAGTCCGGATGGATTCAATTGTAGACCCTTGAGGTTCATGCCGTTCTTCACTGACCCCCAGTACAGAAATACGTTTTTAATTCACACTTCATGTCTACTGAGTCCATATCCCGCTAACATTGAACTTCCTCAGCTGGCAAAGGAAGTAAGGAAGTTTTTAAACAATGGAGTCAAGGTGTCCCACTTCAGGTCCTGAGAGATGGTGGTGCCCAGCAACCTGAATGACTCTACTGGTGCTGTTCATGATAGTGACTGGGGGGAGTGCTGGGAGGTTTCTCCTGAAGTCCACAATCATCCCCACAGATTTGAGCATGTTAAGCTCCAGGTTGTTAAGACTGCACCAGACAACCAGCTGCTCAACCTCTTGTCTGTAAGCAAACTCGTCACTGTCCTGGATGAGGCCGATGACTGTAGTGTCGTCTCCAAACTTCAGAAGCTTGACAGAGGGGTCAGTAGAGGTGTTGGTGTACAGAGAGAAGAGCAGTCGGGAGAGAACGCATCCCTGAGGGCTGATGGTGTGGCTGTTTGACCTGAATTTCCCCAGTCTCACTAGCTGTTGCCTATCTGTCAGAAAGTTAGAGAGTTAGGTTAGTTTGGTCTGGAGGAGTGTTGGGATGATGGTGTTGAAGGCCGAACTGAAGTCCACAAACAGCATCCTCACATATGCTGCAGGATGAAATGCAGGTCCATGTTCACTGCATCATCCACGGATCTGTTTGCTCGGTAAGCAAACTGCGGGGGGTCAAGTAAGAGTCCAGTGATGTTCTTCAGATAAGCCAACACCAGTCTCTCAAATGACTTCATGACCACAGATGTTAAGGCAACAGGTCTGTAGTCATTCAGTCCTGTGATTTTGGGTTTCTTTGGGATGGGGATGATGGTGCAGTGTTTGAAGCAGGCAGGGACTTCGCACAGCTCCAGTGATCTGTTGAAGATCTTTGAAAAGATGTGGGCCAGCTGCTCAGCACAAGTTTTTAGAAAGGCTGGTGAAACACCGTCTGGGGCTGGTGCTATCCTTCTCTTTTGTTTCCTGAAGATCTGACACACATCATCTTCTCTGATCCGAAGTGCAGGAGGTGGAGAAGGGAGTTGATGGAGGTGTTAATGTTTGTGTAGAGAGATGGTCAGAACGGGTGTTGGGTGTGAGACCGGGAGTTTCAAATCTACAGTAAAACTCATTCAGGTCTTCAGCAAGTTGTTGATTCGCCTCAGTGCTGGGAGATGGTGTCTTGTAGTTTGCAATGTCTTTCAGGCCTTTCCACACTGAAGCAGGGTTGTTGACTGAAAACAGATTTTCAAGCTTTTTAGAGTAGCTCCTCTTAGCCACTCTAATCTCCTTTGTCACTGTGTTCCTGGCCTAACTGGCTAGCTTCCCACGCTCCCTGGGCGCCGCAGCAAAAATGGCTGCCCGGACGCATGTTCAAGGTGTGTGTGTGTGTCTGTTTCTGTCCCCACTCCTGTAGGCACCCTCTTTGGCCTGACGAAGCTTGTCGGAGTTTTGCTGTGAACCATGGCTTATCATTGTTGTATGTTAAATAAGTCCTGGTAGGAGTGCATATATCCTCACAGAAACTGATATATGATGTCACAGAATCTGTGAACGCATCCAGAGCAGCTGAAGTAGCAGCTTCAAAAACACTCCAATCAGTTTCGCCGCTGATTTTGCGTCGCGATCAGCTCTGAATAGCTGAAAGCCAGGCAGATGTAACAGGCTGTCCGGAATGGCTTTATTCAACCAGGTTTCCGTGAAACAAAGAGCAGCAGAGTTTGAAAAATCCTTATTTATTCGGGAGGGCAGGAGAAGTTTGTCCGTTTTGTTGGGTAGGGATTAACCCACAGAGATTCGCCAGATGGATGCTAGGCAGCTGCATTCTAAAACCGCGCTGTTGGAGCTTGACTAGCGCGCCGGCTAGCTTCCCACGCTCCCTGGGCGCCGCAGCAAAAATGGCTGCCCGGACACGTGTTCAAGGTGTGTGTGTGTGTCTGTTCACTACTCACTGCTGTGTGTGAGCACTTGGATGGGTTAAATGCAGAGCACAAATTCCGAGTATGGGACACCATACTTGGCTACACTTCACACCACACTAAACTGGAAAAATATATATTTGAAGAGAAATAGTATTCAGTTGTGCAAATATTAGCAAACCACTCAATAATGTTGCTACCCAATAGCCAAATAGCTACTTAAGCTACAAATACCGCTTTTTTTTTTTTAGCTAATTCAAAATTCATGTAATGCCACTTTTTATGATTAAACATTCACAATGGAAAAAAGTAATTCTTCATGTTGAATATCCTCTTTCACTTTGAATTTTGTCATATTATGGAAGTAAAATAGCAATTCAGATTAACTTTAAGCTCTCTTGTGCTGATTTTATTCAAATATGGTCAATATGTGTCCACAGAACGCAGGTAAATGCGCATGCCTCAATAATCCTGCTTCCCTCTTTTTGTCTTTTTCTGTCCTCAAGTGTGAACCTACAGTGGAACTACAGGCCGACTGGGTGACGTGAAGCGTTGCAGCTGCAATTTCACCTTCTCTCAGTCATGAGGAATAATTACACTGCTGGATGCCTGTATGTTCGTCTCCTCTGCCCAGTCCTACACTTGCACTACCATTGCTAACTCTCCAACCCTTGTCTATGTCCTTCTCCTTTCACCTCAACTACCCTCTGACATCTCCTCAGTGGAGCCTCACTGTATGACTTACAGCTCTGGCTTTCTGCTTATTCCATTTCAACTGGCGTTGAATGAATTTTCTATGGGAAAAGGCAAAGTGTCAGCAGCTGGGAGATTATTGACACCTTTTGACTTTGTGCAGGAAGTGTGCTGAGTTTCGTTTGTCTCTATGTTTGACTGGTTCCTCCCCTGACAGGCCAGGGCTGCTCTAAAAAACTGCCTTCGACGCAAAAGAAACAATTGTGGGAGTGCAACTTTGCTTTTCTCACTTTTTGCTAGGTATCATATAGGAACTTACAGTGGGTCAGAGCAAACATGGAATAGGGTTATTTTAGTTAACTAAAGCCATAAAAAAACATTTAGATATGTGAAATAAAATAAATGTTAATTGAAAATACAAAAAAAAAATATATATATATATATATATATAT